AGATTTTAGATTTTAGATTTTAGATTTTAGATTTTAGATTTTAGATTTTAGATTTTAGATTTTAGATTTTAGATTTTAGATTTTAGATTTTAGATTTTAGATAGATTAGAGATTAGAGATTAGAGATTAGAGATTAGAGATTAGATTGGATTCTATTCTATTCTATTCTATTCTATTCTAGATCAGATCAGAAAACATCAAACCAACCCGGTTTGCAGCCCGCCCACCCCCTCTGAAGCCTCCACCCCCGGGGCCCGGTCCTTCCCCTCCCAAAATGCTCTCCAGCGGATCGGTGGCGCAGCTTCTCTGCCGGGAAGCGAATGGGCACAAATCACCGGCAAGCAGATTTGCAGCAGAGAGAGAATTCCTCACAGTGTCATTTTAAAAGGATAATTAAGGAACAATGCAAGGCTTTGTGTAGCCCCAAGACTAGTAATAACACATGGTTATGGCGCAGAATGATGTGGCTTTTGTTACAGGCTCTGCTAATTAACTGAAACAAATATTTGTTGGATTATGCCTAATGTGGGGCATGTGATGCGGGGGGGGGGAGACATCACACAGCTGGAAGCTGACAAAAGAAGATGGGGGGGGTGGCTGCTTGAAGGAAGAGGAGGGAAGGATGAGAGGATGGGGCCGACACCGTCATAAGGGGGGGGGGAATCGGCTGCCTGGATAAAAATAAGGCTTCTCTTGTTTTTTTTTAATGAGAGATTTTGTGGCATCCGTCCTGGGCTCCTTCAGAACTCCAGCTCTCAACAACAACAACAACAACAACAACAACAAGGCATCTGAACACGGTGTAGAATTCCGACTGTAAAGTACCCAAGTCACAGTGATTGTCCTGCTAGGCAGAAAGTTTGGACAGTCAGTTGGTCAGTCGGTCGGTCACTCCGTCAATCTCTCAGTCAGCCGGTCAGTCAACCTGTCAGACAATCAATTAATTAGTCAGTCAGTCAACCTGTCGGACAATCTCTCAGTCAATCTGTCTGTCAATCAGTCAATCTGCCAATCAGTCAGTCAGTCAATCAGTCACTCAATCTGTCTGTCTGTCTGTCAGTCAGTCAATCAATCAGTCACTCAATCTGTCTTTCTGTCAATCAATCTGTCAATGACTAAGTGCTATTGTGCTAAGTGCTAATGAAGGAAGGGAGAAAGAAGAAGGGAGGGAGGGAAGGAGGAAGCAAGCAAGGAAGGAAGGGGAGAAGGAAGGAAGGGAAGAAGGAAGGAGAGGGAGGGGGAGGAAGGGAAGAAATGAAGGAAGGAAGGGAAGAAGGAAGGAAGGAGAGGTGGAGGAAGAGGAGAAGGAAAGAAGGAGGGGAGGAGGAGGAAGGAAGGAAGGGAAGAAAGAAGGAAGGAAGGAGAGGGGGAGGAAGAGGAAGAGGAGAAGGAAGGAAGGAGGGGAGGAGGATGAAGGAAGGAAGGAAGGAAAGAAAGAAAGAAAGAAAGAAGGAAGGAAGGAAGGAAAGAAGGAAGGAAGGAAGGAGAGTGGGAGGAAGAGAAGAAGGAAGGAAGGAAGGAAGGAAGGGAGGAAGGGTGGGTTGTGGCGGCGCAGGGGTTACAATTCAGTATTGCAGGTTAACTCTGCATTCCCACAGCCAGCAGTTCAATCCTGACCAGCTCCAGGTTGACTTAGCCTTCCGTCCTTCCGAGGTGGGTAAAACGAGGACCCAGATTGTTGCGGGCAAAAGGCTGACCCTGTAAACCGCTTAGAGAGGGCTGTGAAAGTACTGTGAAGCAGTATATAAGTCTAAGGACCAGCGCTAAGTGTTTGGAATACGAGAGTCCATTCCGTTCACTGCTTGGGATCCACAAAATAAAAAAAAACTCAGGCAAAAACATTGGACCGAAATGCGGCCTTTGGATGAGGATGTGGTGGAAGGACGGGAGACGAAAAGAGTTCGGATTTAACTGGAGCTGCCAGAAGATTCAACTCAAAGCCCCAAAACAAATAGACAAATAAACAAAGGCATGAAAACGTGGCAATTGCTCTTTGGTGTATCTTTCAATTCTCCCCTGTGGATGAGCCATAAAGTCACAAGCTCTTATGAGCTCAGTGATTTAGCAAAGAATTAAGGCCCTTGTAAACTTCCCAGCTGAAATAATAATAAGAAGGGAATTGAATCATGGTTCCTCCTCGACTTACAGCCACAGTTGAGCCCCGAAATTTCTGTTGTCAACCGACACATTTCTTACGTGCATTTTTGCTCGGTTCTGCCGCCTTCCTTGCCACAGCTGTTCAGGGAATTGTGCCGTTGTTAAGTGAACGACACGGTCGCGAAGTAAATCCGGCTGCACCAGGGACGGCCTTGGCCAGAAGGTCGCAAAAGATGATCCCGTGACTTTGGGACACAGCAACGGTCATAAGGGGGGAGCCCCAGTTGCCAAGCGAAGCGTCTGAATTTTGGACACAGGATGGTGGGAAGGCCAGAAAGGTTGCAAGTGTGAAAAACGGCCCTCGGTCGCTTGTTTCAGTGCCGTTGCAACTTTGAACAGTCGCTAAATGAAGTGCTGTAAGTCGAAGACCGCCGGTATCCTTCCAAGATTAAAGGCAAAAGATTCTTGAGCAATTCAGCCAGAATTGGATCGCTAACCCCCTGATGGTGAACTGTTCTGTCCCCCCTCCTTCGCTCATTCAAAGACGACAGGCAGACAGACTTAAAAGGAAATAACTTTATCAGTCCTCGGCTCAGACTGGCTGCAAGCCCAAAATGAACATAAATAAAGTCTCTGGCAAGAAGATAACAGAATACAAAAACAAAGATCTCTTACGGCCAAACCAGATGTACAGAAAGAAAGCAAATCACTTTTCCAAGTGTCTCTTCGAATCAGGGTTACAGAAAGCAAATCACTTATCCAAGTGCCTCTCACAAACAAACCATGACCAATGATCAATGAACGAGTGAACGTTGACTTCTGCAACCAGGGCGGTGGCACCATCAGTCCTTTTATCTCCAAACTTCTGCTGAGTCACAACAGTGAACTAATGGCATGCAAGCCACAGGGGGTACATGGCGCCATCTCTAAGGGCATGCTAGCCATTGCCCTGGGCCAGCTGGAGTGTGCATATACACACACCAGCCAGCTGATTTTCAGCCTTCAAAGATCCTCTGAAGGGCTGGGGGAGGCCACTTTTGCCCTCCCCGGGTTTCAGGAAAGCCTCCGAAAGCCAAACGGGCCTGCCGAG